TACCAGGTATTAAAATCGGACTATGGAGGTCAAAAATTGATAGTCTGTTGTTAGTACTATCAGAACAGCACGCATAGCAGAATTTTGAATGAGCTGGAGTTTACAGTGGGTGGAATATCAGGGTGAGGACACAACAGATTTTGCTTGAGGATCCCATCATGATCAAATGACTCACCTATCAACACACATGTACACAGAGGATGATCATGCATTGCATTGTCAGCGTGCACAGGCTTATTGAACTGCCCATCAACAACAATCTGTATCCAAACTGCTTGGACATGATGAGCCAAATGGCCTTTTTTTGTGCTGCACACCTCAATGACTGAAGGATTTATTAGATTTAATTTCATTTATATACAGCTTCTTTTGTGACTTCAGAAGTTGGACAGCACTTTAAAGCCAATTAACTTCTTAGTCACTTTTTTGTGATGTCCGAAAAAACACAAATCATGGCAAGTTCATGGCAAACAATGTTATAACAATGATGCAGTCATTTTCTTTCTTTAGAAATGATGATTGAATGATGAACGTTGACGAAGACACTGGAGCGAATTCCCCTGTTCTTTCAGATTACATGTTTAATTTTTTTTAAATCACCTGATATAGCAGATGACTTGATATCTCATCTGAAAATATCAGCTCCAACACTTGAGCTCACCCTCCGGACTATGTGGTGAACATCAGCCGAGATCTTGTACTAAAGCCCTGGTGTAAAACCTTAAAATCACAACCCATTACATCAATGGCATGAGTACTATCCACTTCGCCAAGACTTAATGATCAGAAGGAACGTGTTCGGTTGTGAGAAAGGGCATTCTTGATCATTGTTCTTTCTTTCCAAACATTTTTAATCTTGGAAGAGTCAACAAGGAATGGTCAGTCTCAGGATTGTCCCCTCGGATCAAAAAATCTGCAGAACTGCTCTCCTGCAAAGGTTCACCCATAAAGAATATGCAGCCCCGACCATTAGCAATGGGTAGAGATGGGGATAAACAAGACAGTAGAGAGCACCAACCAAGACATGGATACCATGGGGGAAGAAATAATGTAGCTGGCTGAAAAACGTGAGCTAGATTCAAGCCTAGAGACCAAACCAGAGGTGGGCATTGACTGGCATCATGAGTCCTCCTTGCAAACCTTTTTAGCCAAGAGAGAGGTCAACTCCACAAAGGAGGTCACCCACTTTTTTGCTCCTGATTACAGGGGGTAATTGACAGAAGCTGCAAGAACAATTTTCATTTCCTTTTGCACAGGGAGTCTGTACAGCTCTGAAAACCGAGCAGAGGGAGACACAAAGATAAATAACACAAGAAAGTTAATAATAATAGGCATTTGTGAACCTTGACGCTTCCCCCCTCTCAACAAGCATTCATGTTCACTATCCTTGCTGATGTGTCCTAGGAGGATAAGGACAGAAGTGTGATAAAATGCATGGCAGGAAATGACCCATGCTTCTTCTCTTGCTAGTTCTTAGCCCTAAGGGGAATGAGGAGGGGAACAGTAAAAAGCAATAAACATTTAAGACCATTGAACTTTTGAATCATGGACGGAATATTGGTGTTGCAATGTATCACCCCTAATGACTCTTAATTAATCAGATTAACACACTCAGTCATTGCCTCTTGCCTTTTAAAGATATCTCATTGATGCAACTAAAACAATATGCAGAGTTACACAGGTTATTTGTCAATTCAGCAATGCAAGAGGAACATTCATAATGTTCAAGGTACTAGGAAAATACATACAAACTGTGTACTTCATACTTCAGAATGAGACAACTGTGTGGGAAGGGGAAATTTGAGAGTGGCTGGATTTCTAATCTTGCTAGTATTGTAATGTGTCAACTGGAGTTCTTTTTTTCTCTTCTTCTCTCTCATTTTATATAGTTTCTCTGAAGTGTGGCCTAGCTAGGTTCTAGTTAAAGCTCTGCTTTCTTTCCTGAGAGGAGATTAAATGCTTTCTTCCCATGCAAACTATTTGCAGAGGTCCTATTGTTGGTGCTGCTTAACCCATTTTAAGATGCTAGTCTGTAAAAATGTATAGAGCAACAGAAGGACTTTGCAGTATGAAGGGACCTCTGTGGTAAAGCAACTTGAACCATCTGATGCAACCCTAGGGTAAGCCATCTTCATAGTGATGTGTAACAAATTCCTATATTTGTATCCCTTTTCTTTGTACTGAGCAAGTCAGCAATCTACAGCTAGTAACATTAATGGAACAGAATGCTCCAAGTGATGCATGGTGACAACATTCAATTCATAGGAGGGGTGAGCTACAAGGTTTTCAAAAGGTCAACCTGGGCAAATTCTGGTGTTCAAAGGTCACAGGCATAGAGTAAGGATTTGAGACGAGGACAATGTTAAGAATGAAAACAAAAAGTGCTGGAGATCACAGTGGGTCAGGCAGCATCCATGGAGAGAGAGCAAGCTAACGTTTCGAGTCGAGATGTATGAGTCTTGAATCTAGTCTCTCGAAGAGTCATTTGGACTCAATGTTAGTGTGCTTTCTCTCCATGGATGCTGCCTGACGCGCTGTGATCTCCAGCAAGTTTTGTTTTTGGTACAGATTCCAGCATCTGCAGGAATTTTGCTCCTACAATGTTAGGAGCGCTGCAGTTAGCTGTGTGGCTGGGAAGGCGGTTGAACTACACCGTTTCTATGTATGTGATTCAGGAAGAAGTCAAGAGCAGTTGAATTCCTCGCTGCAGTCTGAACTTGGGGAGAGGCTCTAGGAATTAGCAAACAACTAAGTGTTGGAGTCTGGACTCAAAACAAGCCCTGGGGAGCTAAGAACTTGGGAAGTTCAGTTGTTCTCTATTCGAGGAAGTGATGAGGGGCTTAGAGGCAGGCTGCAAACATTAATGCTTCAGTTTGGCTGAGAGTTGCTCTGATAGGGGGAGTCCCAGGGACAGTTCTAGCTGGGTGAAGCAAGCTGCCTGCAAAGTCTTAGGTTTTCTTTGTGAATTAGTATTGAACTGCAGTTTTGATGTGCAGGGATGGGGGAGCATGGATCCAGGAAAGGAGGGTAATCAACCAGAAGGGAAGCAGTCATCGAGTTGTCCATGCCTGAACAGTTCTGGAAAAGGAATTTCAAAGCTCTATCAGCAACAGTAAAGAATTCTGATCCATTGTGAAATTTAATAAGTTTTCATGACCCAGTACATCATTAAGACCTGGAGGGTGTTGCTGAGAATTCAGGGGTGTCTGTCTTGATTTATTTGATGGGGTATTTAACCCCCGTCTATTATACATACCTAACACCTGTATTCTGCTGTTAAAAATAGAGTTGTCCTCATGATTGTATTAATGTTCTGATATTGTATGGTAGAATTTATTGTTGTTTGTCCAAAAGCATGGAATTTCATGGCTTTATTCCTTAGTAAATATGCTGGATCTCAAACTTTGTGTACTTTGAAAATAAAAGCTAACTGGTCCCTAGCCCGGCCGTAACATAAATTTAACCATTTGGTCGGTGATTGGAACGGATGCAATAACATGACAACTGGATTATTGCCCATCATGACACAGATTAAAAATTAGTAGAGGGTAGGGTATTGGAAACATTTCTTTCTCTGCAAACCTCTCCACTGGTCCCACAGCCAATCTGAGTTACTCGTCATTCTCATCATTCCCTGTCCTCTATTTGTTTTTAAAGTCTTGATTCTCTTTTTCCCACGTCAGGCCTCTTGTTTCAGGCTATTCCAAGCCATAATCCACCAACTACTCCTCTTCACTCCTCCTGACTCTGGTTACTCTGTGTCCCCGTCCCCCTCCACAGTCAGAAAGACATTAGAAATAGGAGGAGAAGAGGCCATTCAGCCCCTTGAGCCCACTTTGCTGTTCAATACATTTTAGGTGATCCGAACTTGGCCTCAACTTAACTTTCTTGCCTGATATCCATAACAACTGATCCCCCTTCTGTAGATCAATAACCATTCTATCTTGGGTTTCAAATGCTCAATGACCCAGCTCTCTTACAGATTTCTGAAGATTCATGACTCTCTGGGAGAGGAAACTTCTCCTCATCGCTAACTGGACAACTTCTTATCCTGAAACTGTGCTCTTTCTGTTCTAGATTCTCTGACAAGGGGAAACGTCCTCCCAGTATCTGTCAGCGACCCTCTGAGTATTAAGTTTCAATAATGTCACCTTTCTACTAAACTTCAACGAGTCTTGGGCCTAACTTGCTCAATATTTCCTTCTAAGACATGCCCTTTATTTCAGGAATCAGCCTCGCAAACCTTTTCTGAACTGTTTCCAATGCACATATTTTTCTCCATAAGTAAGGACATCCATAATTCTTGATGAATAAGGGCATCAGCTTTGAAATTTGTAGGATCCTGACTGATCTTGATAAGGATGTTTCCTGTTGTGGGTGAGTCCAGAACTAGTGGGGGGCTCTGGTTGAAAATCACACTTTTTTAGGGCAGAGATGAGGAGAGATTTTTTTCTCTCTCTGAGGGTTGTGTGACTTTGTTGTCTAGGTATGATCTCTTTGAACAATAGCTCTGGCCTCATCCATGCTTACTGGTGGTGGAACCTTCTAGAACTGTAGTAACCTGGAGCCCTTTTCTCCCCCTTAGCACCTCTCTTTTCCCATCTTCATCTTTTTAAAGGTCCTTTCCAAGTGTCTCCCTCTTCAGCTGTGCTTTCAATCATCACTTTTGTCCGCAAGTTGACCTCCAGTTTCTTAAACTGCTTGATGAAGGAAGGTTGGGAACCGTCTTCTGCTACACAAAGTCTATCTAAGTGGAAGCCGTTATCAGAATTGATCATTGACTGATTTATCTTTCTCTTTGTAGGTAACGTTTCTTTTTTAACTGGATTGAAGAGTCAGCCTTTTGCTGAGGTGTGGGGCCTTTCGACTCTTGGACAAACAGTTGCCATTGCAGCATCAGCTCACGCCCTATTTTTTTTTGTTCCGAAGATCTCAGGAAGCCTGTTTTTCACCCCCCCCCCCCCCCCACCAGCCCCCACCCCAGCCAAAAGAAAAGAGCAATGAGCAACAGTGGGGCAAGAGAGGGACCATCCAGGCAGACCGCAGCAGCTGCCAAACAGCCGACTCCAGCAGCTGAACCCGTGAGGAGAGGACGAGGAAGACCCAAGAAGCAGCCTCAAGTAAGCCTTTGGGTTTCCTTAGCAACACGAGCAGTAGCTTCATCGGGTAACGCTGACTTGCAACCTCCAGGACAGATCGAAGCGTTCTTCCAGGTCCATTTGTCAGACTATTTACACCACGCATCAATCCCTTACCTCCTCTTTGCTGGACACTCCCTCCACAAAGTCTGTTAGCATCCACCTGCCTGGATGGGTGCAGCTCTACAAACACTCAAGATGCCTGACACCATCCAGGACAAAGCAGCCCACTTGATGGGCACCCCGTTCACCACCTTCAGCATTTACTCCCCTCACCACCGACACATAGTGACAACAGTGTGTACCCATCCACAAGGTACACTGCAGTGAACTGACCAAGGCTCCTTCGACATCTTTTACCACTTTGAAAGGTATCAGATATGTAAGAACTAGGGACAGGAGTAGGCAATTCAGCCCCTTTTGAGCCTGCTCCATCATTCAATACGATCATAGCTGATGTCATCTCAGCCTCAACTCCACGTTACGTTTTGCTCTCCATAACCTTTAACCCATTACAAATTAAAAATCTGCCTATCTCCTCCTTAAATTTATTCAGTGTCCCAGCATCCACTGCACTCCAGGGTAATAAATTCCACAGATTCACAATCCTTTTGAGAGCAGTAATTTCTCCCCATCTCTGTTTTAAATCTACCACCTCTTACGCTAAAACTACGACCTCTCATTCTAGATTGCCCCCATGAGAGAAAGCACCTTCTCTACATCCGATTTGTCAACCTTCTTTGGCAACTTGTATTCCTCAACTGGAACTCCTCTCGTTCCTCTTAAGTTCCAGAGAGTATAGGCCTAAACTGCTCAATCTCTCTTCATTAGACAAACCCGCATCTCTGGAATCAATCTAGTGAACCTTTTCTGAATTGCCTCCAAAGCAAGGGAACTCAAACTGTACTCAATACTCCAGGTGTATTCGCACTGATGCCTTGTATAGTTGCAACAACAATTCCCTATACATATACTCCATTCCTTTCACAATAAATGCCCTTTGCCTTTCTTACTATCACTGTACCTGCACACTAGTTTTCAGCAATACATACACTAAGATAGGCAGGTCCCTCTGCACCGAAGCACTCTGAAATTTCCCTCCACTTAGATAAAAATGCAACCTACCATCAACAGACCAAAATGGATAACCTCACACTTATTCACATTTAACTCCATCTGCCATGTTTTGAACCTATCCAAATCCATTTGTAAATTTCTTTATTACAACTTACTTCCCCACCTATTTTTAGTTTCATCTGCAAATTTGGCTGCAGGACATTCAAAACCCACTTCCAAGTTATTACTGTAAATTGCAAATAGTTGGAATGTGGGAACACCACCACTAGCAAGTTCTGTTCCAAGTTACTCATCCTCCTGCCTTGCAAATGTATCGCTGTTCCTTCAGTGTTGCCTGGACCAAAGTGCTGGAGCTATCTCCCTAATGGCATTGTGGATGTAGCTCCTCCTCACCCTAATAGACTACAGTGATTCAAATGAGAGCTCACCACCACCTTGAGGAGCAATCAAGGATACTGACCTAGCTAGTGTGACAACTCTAACAGGAGGCTCCTTGAGCCATAGCAAAAATGTAAATGTATTATTTGATCATCAAGATTGATCAATTTGTTTCTCTTTACTCCCGTTATTCAGAATAAAATGTCTCACCAGGATTCTTCAATAAACTCAAAAATAACTCCTTGATTCAGAACACGCATATTTGTTAAACAATTGGCAAAATTATTTACTCAGCTACTATAGAGGTTTAAACTGTATCTCCTTAATCCCATCCACACATTCGTACATATCCAAGACAAGTCAAAACAGCCCTGCAGCGATATCATAGGTTTGAAAAATAAGAATGACAACTCCATAGGTCAAGGCTCTGACTGTAGAAGATAGAATGTGTCGCACTCTCCCTGTCCATTTGATTCCCTGTCAATACAATTTGGTTGCTGACAGTCACAAAATGATGGAAGAACTTCAGATCAGGCCAGCTTTTAGGAAAGTTCTCTTATTGATTTTTGTGTCAGGGTGTATGTGCTGAAGAAGGAACTTTAGTTCAAAAACAAATTTGCTTGAAAAGCTCAGCAGGTCTGGCAGCATCTGTGAAGGGAAAAAACAGAGTTAATGTTTCGGGTCCGGTGACCCTTCCTCAGAACTGATGGTGGCTGGGAAAACGTCAGTTTATATGCTTTATTTCACAGGATGTTGCTACTCCATGTTTGGGACCTATGCCATGGTGATTCGAGTCTGTTTTTCCAACAATTAATCCATGAAATCCATTTCGTATCTCTTCATGAAAGCTTTACCGAACTCTTGTTGCACAGAATCAGTTCACATTGGATATAATGAGCAAACCACTTTCTCTTCGACTTTAAAATTTTTGTTTACAATAATTCACATGACAAATCTAATGTCCAAACAGTTCCATATTCCAGTTTGTCATGGTCCAATAATATTGACATGTTTATAACACGAACATGCAGACCTCCCATTAACGAATGAAAAAGTTCCTATGCTGGCCGGACCAGTTTGCTGTAACAGGTAAATCCAGAAAATTAAGGCAGTCATCAGCAGGTCTGGCAACACCTTCAGAGAGAAATTTGCGTTTGGTCTTAAATATTTCAGGTGGTGGATGTTCTTTACTTTAATTAGAATCCTCACAATGCAGATGGAAACCATTTGGCCCATCAAATCTGCAGTGACCCTCTGAAGACCATCCCACCCAGAGACAAACCCACACCCTATCTCCATAACCCTGCATTTCCCATGACTAATCCACCCAGCCTACACATCCCTGGACATTCTGGGCAATTTAGCATGGCCAATCCACCTAGCCTGCACATCTCTGGACTGTGGGAGGAAACCGGAGCACCTGCAGGAAACCCAAGCAGACACGGGGAGAATGTGCAAACTCCGAGGGTGGGATCAAACCCGTGAGGCAGAGGTGCTGACCACTGTGCTGCCGTGCCATCCTATTTGTGAGTCGCGAAGAAGACAGGTTGGACTTTGCAGAGGGTAACCAATTAAGGTATGAATGCTGGACATTGAGGCAAATGGAAGTTAGGAATATAAAATGCTTGGTCATCAGAGACAACCTCCTGCACTATTTCAGAGGAAGCCTGCAATAAGAGCTGACAGAAACCTTTCCTCCTGCTGCTGCTGTGGCCATCCTTCCCCATGAACTGAGCCTGTAGTGATGCTTGGATCTCCCATTGTCAGAGCTCCTCATCTCACCCACAGAGACTGTGCAGGGGGAGCCTGCATGTGCCATTCACAAGATCTCCCAGTTATCGGTTCAATATTCCTGCTTAATAGCTACGTGAGCATAAATGTCTTCCCATCATACTTTTCCAAATTTACCTCCAATTACACAGCACCCCCAAAAGAAAAAGGGGGATTGTAAAATTTTGTCCAGTGTTTTGGTTCAATGACTTTATATCAGAACTGGAGGTTTAATAGTTTTAAGCCAAAAGGTGAGCTGAAGGAACAAAGGAAGTGCTGAGGGTGTATAATGCGCTGGTCAGAGCACATGTGGAATATTGTGAGCAGTTTTGGGCCATGCATCAAGGGAAGGAAGTACTGGCCTTGGAGTAGGTCCACAGGATGTTTGCCAAAATGATTCTGGGGATGAAGGATTTGTCACATGAGGAGCAATCAAGGATTCTGGGTCTGATGGATTTTGGAAGGATGAGCGGAGGATCTCTGTGACTTGACAATGTAAGACTGATGTTTGACTAATCTGTGGGACAGATCACCAGTTTCGCTTCAAACCCCCAGAGGTCAATGGGCAGGATCCTTCAGGGTCGTGCTTGCTGTGGTAATTTCCAGAGCCGAGGTCGATGCCAGGTGGTCCATCCAGTTTCAGTCCTTTCTTTAGACTTTATAGCAGCAGCGATACAGCTATGTGACCCACTTCACCATTTCAGGGGGCATTTAAGACTTGAGCACATTACTGTGGGTCTGGAGTCGCATGTAGGCCAGAGTGGGTAAGGATGGCAGTTTTCCTTCCCCAGAGCACATTAGTGAACCAGACAATTTTTTATGATAATTGACAATTGTTCCATAATCACCACTGGACTAGTTTTTAATTTCAGATTTATTAATTGAATTCACTTTTTGCAATCCACCCTGCTAAGATTTGATCCCCTGTATCTCGAGCAGAAGCATCTTGATTACTTGTTTAGTGATCTTACCTCTGTGCCACATCACCCCAAATCAGATCACCTATGTGATAATATCTTTCAGATAAGACATTAATTTGAGGTACTGTGTGGTCTAATCAGTGAGTTTAAAATATCCCGTAGCTCAATTTCATAGTGTTCTGGTCATTTATCACTTTTATTTTATATTTACTCATAGCCAATGATCATCGCTGGCTGGGCCAGCATTTATTGTGCTTCCCTAGTTGCCCTTGAGAAGGTGGTGGTGAGCAGTTTGCTGTGTACAAATTGGTTATGAATGGGTCTCCGTGCTTCCTATACTACTGCAGTGAGTGTACACCAACAAGGTATTTGATCCCAGATTGTAGGGAGCTTCGTATGATTGCAATATCCTTCTCTGTTTTCCTTCTGATGATCCTGTGAGTGGTCAGGAAGAGTTGAGGAGATGCCATCTGGGAGGGGTGTCCCTGGTGGTCTGCACAGATCCATTCCACAAAAGGAAACTGTGGAATTAAATGCAAGTGGATCCAGCCTAGTGCAAATCTTCTCCATTCTCACAGGTGTGTGCTGTAGGTCAGAATGCCAATGCATTGAGATGAATTAAGAGCAGTTTTGAGCTGTGGCTCCACAAAGGAATAATTGATTTCTTATACCCAGAACATAGTTGTTTCCCTGAGGGTATTGAACATCCTATCTGTATGCATCACAGTGTGACATGGCAACCGCTGTTCCCAAGACCTTAAGAAGCTACAGAGAGTTGTGAACACAGCTTAGGGAGGCGATGGCCTAGTGGTATTATCGCTGGACTGTTAATCCAGA